CCGCTACACGTGTCTTTTCAAGTTACTTCAAACGGTTAATCTGTGATCCGCCGCTCTCTCTCAGTCACGACCTCCAACTGATCCGTAGCTACCTGTACCCTGTCTGTGAGGTCAAGTTCTTGAAACACAACGTCTCTTCGTTCAGTTTATCATGCAATTCACGTTTAGGGAACGCTATTTGTGTCCTTCTGGCCTCATACAAACATCAATAAAACGCGTCTTGTATTTCTGCATGTTCCTTTCATCACACACGCACCCGTTTGTGCAGCAAACGCCCACGTAAGGTGAGTACTAGACGTGTAAGTTGGTCTGGATGAGTGCTAACTGTGCCGGCACACATTCTCCATCCTTCCTTTGCTGCTACTGTACTTTACCTTCACTCATATTGCTATTTTACTTCATCCTCCCCGGTTCAAGTCATCCTGTCCCGTCAATCTGTGGTGACGGATAAAGTAGGTGGGAGACGGAAAAGGTCCGTCCAGCAACCCATCGAGCGTTCAGAAATAAGCTAACTTGGCTTTTGTCACTGTCCCAGCTTGGCCATGTTCTTGTCACATTCTGCATTCCCATCTACGTCTGTTTGCATAAGTTTGACTTTGGTCTCGACTTATGAAGCCTCCTCTGGGTATCAAGTTTGCTCGTGTTCTTCTCTCTCTCCATACATCGGATACTCAACTCCCAGACTGCTATGTTCGCGAACAGCTTGGTTGTGGTAGTTGGTTGATGAGTCAGTTCGATAATCCATCCATAACTCGGAAGTTGTACTCTGTCTTGTGCCGAAAATTCTTATTCACATTGAATGTCGCATTTTTTTTCAGTCAGACTGGAGAAAAAATTGCCAACATGGTAGTGATCGCTGGATATTTTCCCGTCGGACTGTCAAGTACCTGTTACCGTGGTTGACTTCGGCGATTCTCAAATCACCACTTCAGTTTGCCAAGTCTTACTTTCGACCGCACTTTAAGTTTAACATTTGCGTTGCGTGAATAGTCACACTCAAACGTTGGATGAATACCATTTTTGTTTCCGAGATACCTCGGAGTATGTAAAAACGTAATGTTTAGTCGGTCTCACCTAGAAGGATACCACCTTGTTTAACTGACAAACGAGAACTAATCATATATCTGCTTGCCGATTATCGCACAGATCAGTCTATTCGTGGTTTGCTCCACCTGCGGTCCATCAAATATGCTAGGCGCACGACTAAATAGGTCATGCCAGGCATTGTGATTGACCTTTTCGGAATCGTGACTGGAAATATCAAGTGATTGGACAAAGTTATCTTTTGGTCACTTTTATTTTCGTCTATCGACTTGATTGATCATCTCATACGACGGTATGAATGTGAACGCGAATCTCCCCTTATCAACAAATTATGCTAAGCTTTTAGCACTGATCAACAGCCGCTTCAGACAGGTTCTGAGCATACCGTTTTAATTTTTGATATCAGGAGTGGCATTGACATGCCTCTGGGGTATCTTTCCATATTTATTTTACGGTACTTTTTTATTACACAGTTTTGTGTGATGAACAGTAGACGTGGTGGACCACATAGTCACGGAGATCTGCTGTTCTGTGATGGAAACCGGCAACCTCAACCCCGGGACTTGGAGTGGCGAACTACATGAAATCCTATTGGACTAGGCGTGGTACTGAACCGGACGACAGGAAAGTTGGGTGACACTGGAGGGGTTTGAACCTGGGATCATGGGGTTTTAAGTCCGCTGGTGACTAAAACTCTGCACCACCACCACCACCCTGTGTAGAAGAACATCGGTAAATGCGTTTCAAGCTTTCTAATTTGTACTGTACTGCGTCAAAACACTATGCTATGTACTTTCTCTACTCGATTTTCAAGGATCATCATCACCGATCTATCCCCGTTTGTAGTTTGGCTCGTTTACTTCATACTTGGTTTCCGGCTTATAGAAAAGTTGCATGGCAATAAATTGGTTCAGTTGTCATCGCATTCGAACACCGGTTGTTTCGGATCGATGCACTGCAAACAAAATATCGTTGATCTCACATTTGACCGCCCTTGATGGTGATTTATGCACAAAAAATCGGATGACGTTTTGCGGAAGAACAGTTGAATGTATGGATATCAGGCAGTTGTTTGAATCAGTTGCTAAGACAGAGACTGACTGGTTGTTGTTTAATGTGAGTTCCATCTTGAAGCGTTCAATCACACCTGTCTCCCACCTACATTCTCATTCCGTTCCGCAGGTACAATTCGTAAGAGGTTCAATAAACCGGCAGCCGCAGTACGGGCACGTATGGCTCAGAAGTGTAAAGATGAGCGTCGGTTTGGTCGCCTGACCGTGACTGGAAACGGGACCATATATACAGTGGACGGTTCTCATGAACATCTGGGAGGCGCAAGTCCGGTAGCCGCAATCTCTGTCAAACACAACGGCTCCCGTCGAGCTCGCAAGCGTCCAGCCACGTCCGCTGGAAATGGATCGCGATCTGCAGCTGCATCCGGTTTAAGACCTAGCAAATCTTCCCAAAGCAGTTCGCCACTCCAGTCGTCAGACTTTGCCTCAACACCTGGTTATCAGCCCACAGCAGCGTATTTAGACGACGCGTGCTCGTCTACCACAGATTNCTTATCGCCGACATCGTCTACACAACCCGGACACTCGACTGAGACCGATCAGGATATGTATCCGCGTTCAATGGACGACTGTCTGCGACTCCAATCCGGTTCCACCCTTCCACAGACCCAGTCGTTAGGTGGTACTGTTTCACCGACATCATTGTCCATGATGCTCATGGTACCCAACACAGCCAGCAACAGCAATAGTAGTAGCAACGGAAGTGGTAGTAACTGTAGTCATCTGGACCCTATTCTCACAGTGACGTCCGCAGATTCATCTTTCTCGTCTTCAATTGGCCCATGCCATCGACCACCATCTCAATCCGCAGAAATGACCAGCTGAGCCGATCTCTCTCACACTGTCCTTTTCAGACAACGTAATACAACCAATCAAATCCGACGGTTCCCATAGACTTCCAAGCCAGTTCGTGCAAACACCTACCTATCGACCCATTTTTTCATCTCTCTCCGGCGTGTGCTCGTTTCTCAAAAGGCTCTCATTATTTGCTACTGACCAATTTATTTGTTGCTTACCACTATTCATATGTCACGGTCTGTTTCCCCCCTCACATTATCCGGGTTCTTCCTGTTCTCTCTCTCGATGCAATTCCGTCTATTTTCTTTTTTTTAGGTCTGTGTGTTCGTATTCATGCTGATATTTGTCCGAATGTCAGCCATCCACTCCCCGTCCCCTCTGTTTCATCCACTACTCGTTCTTCCACATGTTCGCCTCCACACGGCTGTATTCCGTCCTCATTCACATATATACCGGTTAAATGGCCTCACGTGTAACTGTGAAAGCGTAGGCAAACAAATGGATGAACTAGGTCGGTGACTGGCTAATGCAATATTTGTCTCTCCTACACATGCATACACATAATAATCACGTGACCAACTCCCAAGTTCATTCAAAGCAATCAACCGGTCGCTGTGCGACCGTGAGACTGATCACGATTATGACAATGTAACAATAATTTGTTCCAATCATTGAAATATACACCAAATGTGCCACATTCGATCAAAATGAGGTGCCAGTTTCATCCGCCTCTTATCCGCTTCGTATCTCGGTCTTCCCCTCTCCCCCCACACGCAATGATATTCGTCATCATGTTCTCTGTTCTTTGGTAATTTTTGTACCGTCCCCCCCTCTTGTTTGTCATCTTGTTTTTTTCATATACTGCTTATCTCTCCATTCCCCATTGTGCACACTGGATCAATTTGAATTTGGACTCACATCTTTCGCATTCTGGATGGGTAGATACGTGAATATATTTCACCGTATATCTATGTTCTTTTTTCTGTCATACACACACACACACCATTATCCATATTGGATGAATGATTAGACGCATACGTACGCCGAGTCGTTTCGCCTCACACAAATGCAACCGTTCTATCTTATTGCCCCTGAATGTACTTTCCTAGTCACTTGTGTGCTGACTTGTCCCCTTGAAATATGATTCCGATCACAGATTGCGGTTTCGGTTGTACTTTTCCCCACTCACATGTTCTTCATCCGCCTTCCGCACCGCGATCGTTTTGCATCATCCACCTCTCCCTCCATTCTATTTCCGGATCAGTGCCATCATATCTGTTTGTCTTTTTGTATTTTTCTTGTCTTTTGGTCTCGATTCGCTCATCCAAATTGGCCAATCTGTGTGCTTTTTTGCTACCACTATTATCACTGCTGCCAACAGCACCATCACCCCGATTACTGCTGCTGCTTCTGTCCCTGTGTGCAGTACGCTTTGCTTGCGTATTGTGTCCTGCTCGTGCCTAGGTGAGAACTGTTGCTACACACACACACACACATGCTCACTTGCCTGTGTGAACCTATCTAAACAACTCGGAATATGGTTATACTAAAGCGCCCGCGCGGGCGCATTCACACATATATGTATACATTGATCGTTCACTCCCTCCGCCTCCAACTGTCTGCCTGATTACGCGATCAGTATCAGCCAGCTCATATTGATAATTGCTCTCGTTGTTCTTGCTGCTGCCGTCCACACATTCGTTCGTCCCTTTCCCCCAATCCGCGACGAACAAGTCCCAATTGATTATTTTGATCTTGCTTATCACTATTTTGTCGCATTCTCTGTGTGGTTCGATCCACATTTGCCACACATCTCAACCCCTTCCTGCCGCGTATCACGTGTATATGTTCTTGCGTCTGTTTTCCTCTTTTGTACGTGTGTATAGGCCACACTCTGTAAGTCCTTCAGTCCAGTATGCGAGCACACACACACACCTGTTTGAGATCCTTTCATCTTCATCCTTGTTGCTCGCCCCCTCTCATCTCACGTAATGCTTCCTGTCCTTTCTGTGCGGAGTTTTCCCCCTTTTCGACTCTTCTCGGACAATTTTGACATTCCTCATCAAAACTCGGTTGTCCCGTGACTTGGACTGTTTCTTACTACTCAACCCAGCTAAATGGTGGGGGGGGGGACAGAACACGGTACTCTCTTCACCTCCGTTTTTAATCCTAAACGCTTTTGGGCGAATTTGTGCTTCCGGGGTTTCTGTTTCCATCGCCCGAGCCACACATTCATCATTTCATCTGTGTATGCGTGCGCTGTTGTTGTTTCTAGCATTCTGTTCCGCGTGGGCCTTTGGTTTTTTTTTAATTGTGGCTTCCGTCCTGTCCTGTCCAATCCCATTCCCGTCATATGCCTGCCTGCCTGCCTGCCCAGTGACTGTTCTTTTATTACTACCAATGTGTCTCAATCCAATGCAATGCAACCCCTGTACGATCGCGATTGTCACTGCCGTTCCTATCATTATTGCTACTTAAAATGCTTTTCTTAATATCTTTTGATACAACCAATACTACTACTATTACTAATACTCTTATTATTCTTCATTCTGCTACTGCGGCCACTACTACCGTACGTACGAAAACCTTCGCAAAATCGACGGCAGTTTCCACGTTACCTACTGTTTCTTTGCAGCATTGTTTTCGATCGTTTCTAGCATAGTGAGTATCTCCACTCCTAGTGTCTGGAAATCAAGTGCCTGACAGTCTCATGCCCCTCATTCTGGTACAAGGCAGCTGCATTGTGCTTTCCAGTTTCTGCCTTGTTTGAACCTTGCAGCTGTTCTTTGTGGATGTTTTGAGAGCATTCAATTGTGCATTTACAGACCTGTCCGCCGGGCTGTTCGCTGGTAAGGCAACTCTCTCCTGGGGGGGGGGGGGGGGGGGGGGGGNGGGGGGCTGCGACAGCTCGCCCTGGAACACGTTACTTGAGGCGAGCATACACTAGTGTATGGTCCGTTACGTTTGTTTTGCCAGTCTCAGCGCTCGGCATGTCCGAAAGTCCTCAGCAAAGTCGTAGTAAAATGTCGATATAGTATGCTACTCTGCCGTCGGCAAAGTTACCTGTAAAATGATGTTTTCTATGGTGACAACAGTTCGGTTGAAGTCGAAAAAAGTGATCAGGTGTTTTCCATTAGCTCATTTTCGATCAGGGGCAAATTTATTCTGGAGGTATCGTGTTTGTGTGTTTAGTGCACACATGCTAACCGTAAGTTGAGACGTACAGCGCACAGGCGACTACTGACTGGAATCCAGTCATGAAGCGAGCGCTGCGCAATCCCAACATCGCAAGCTTCGGATGCCGAATCGCCTGACACACGAAGGCTGAAGCGTGAAGTTGCGGTTGGATCAGAAGAACGCAGGGAGATGATAGAAGTAGGGGTCTTGTATGCCTATTTCGGAGACACAACATATACGTAAATTGAAAGTTTCAAGGGTTCTAGCTAAGGCAGCCTGTTGACCGATCTGATATAGTGTGCAAACATTGAACGCGGCTTAGTGAAAAGGGGATTTCGGTTTTAAAAATCCTATAACTTCCTCCTCCAAAAGCGTCAGTGTAGTCGGGGGTGGGTGTCTAGGGTTGCGGCTGGTCACCCTGCCTTTGCACCTCACGAAATGCTCCCATACGACCAAGCGTCTCAAATAGCCTCTGCTGAGGAAATCCTACTCACTGCCTTCTCGCGGCAGAGGTGTTTTCTCACCAAAGTGAGAGGACGAAAAGCCGATATCCGGGGCTATAGTCGGGTTGGTGGACCACTGACAGTTCACCTAGGGGAGTTGGCCAAAAACCCTGATTCCAAACCAACCATGAGGAGGCGTACAAACCACACCCACACCTTTTCGGTTGTGGCAGTGGTCACCGGCTCGATTGGGCATTGAGGTGTATTGGGCACCTTGGACGTCTGACCCCGTCCGAAGGGCGTATGATCCGATGAACTGGACACCGTCTCCCAATGGATTGCGGATTTTACACACCGCCCCGCTACCTTGCGGGTCAGGCTTTGGTTATGCGAAGGCTCCGATTGTGGATTCCTCAAGAAAATTCACCTGCCTTGGCCTGGGCAACCTGGCAGTACTCAGCCCACAAGCCAATCATGGAACATTTTCTTTTCATAAAAATTATTGTACCATGATTTGTTTGGCACACAGTCTGTTCTCAGACAAGTGTGAAGTATATATAACTTCTGATTATCTGACCTTGCTTGTAAAACGCTGATTGAGTTTCGATGGGTGGCGTAAACAGGGGGCATCTGGGATTATTTTGGATTGAGAAGAACTAGACAGATGGGCAAGATGGTTTTCCAAATGGGTGCCTAAGACTTTAGGGCACGGCATATTTCGCAGTATCCCACACCGACGAAGGGGTTTTTCTTTGGGAACCCTCACTGGAGCCTTTGACTCAAAAGTCTGACCTACAAGGCAGTGGGGCGTAAATCCAAGGCGGGAGCGTGAACAAAGCACCCGTGTGGGAGCTTCTAGGTACCTGTCACACAAGGCCTTCGGATTTCGATTAATTGTGTTGTTCGCTAGTGCGTTGATTGTCGGTCCGCTTTTCGGGTTTTTTGACCGATAAACTGCTGGAGTGGCTTCTCCAGGGCGAATGTGGATACGAGGAAGCCAGGAGGTGCCTAAGCAGCTGGCTTTGTTATACTGAGCTTCGTCTGGCCTCTACCCGTTGACCTTTCAGGCATGATTGGATCTACGGCTGTGAAAAGCCATCCTGTATAGCTCGCAGGGTCATGGAGGCACGCAGACCATCACATCACGCCAAGGTACAGTCTCGTCGTGTTGGTAAGGTAACCTCCGAAGGTAGATTGTAAAACTCATCTTTGTCAAACCATTTTATTGGCGAGGTTGGTGAATGGACAAAGATAACCGAGAGTTCTTTGGAGCGTGTAATGGTTATTCTACCAAGGGTGGGTTCCCATTCAACATTCTGCGTTCTTTGGTCGTTGTTTCAGAGCAAAGGTTACACTGCATAGTCCAAACTTGTCACTGGGTCCTCTGTGTTAGAATCGGTTGACCAC